CCCCAAAACCCCAAAACCCCAAAACCCCTTTGTTTATAGAAAATTGAAGAATAATAATTAGAGACCACCTCCTGCAATCCAGTTTCCTGAATCAGCATCACTTTCTTCATAATCTGATTCTATTATCTGAGTTTGTGGCTGAAAAGGTCTTCTTTTCCTGGTGTCTACAGGATGTTATTTCCAAATTCTCACCTCGTATTGCATCTTTGTAGACTTTCATCTTCTGATAGCTTTTGTGATTAACTAATCTCCTTGATTTCGGAGATGTATCTTGTGTCATCTCACTCCTGCCTTTGAGAGTAGACTTGCTTTTTACTTGTTTGAACTTCCTCGGGTTAATGCCCCATCCACTATTCATATAAGTGCTCTTGCTCTTTCTAAGATATTGCTCTTCGATAGGGTTCATTCTAGTAGTCTGAATATCATCTGTAAGATTAAAATAAATACACTTACTGCTTGATTTATGCTGAGACTCATTTCTAGATTTGAGCAACTTCCTCCTCTTCGATTTATTCTTCTTCGACCTATTTCTTCTGCTTAAATGTCTAATATCTGGGAAAGGGTCGTTTGGATGCCTTATTTCAGAATAGCGATCATATTTATCTTGAGAATGGCCTAATATCTTCTGTGAATAATGATGCTTCTTTCCACTATCTTGGGGAACAATGTTTAAGACATTATCATAAGATTTATAAATAGACTTCTTGTTCCTAGTCTTCCTTTTTTTACTACTTTTACGAGTTTTAATGATCTTCCTTGGAGGTGATTTGTGCTGTCTTTCTTTCACTTTATTCTGCTTCATATGCTGATTATATTTCTCTTGTAGATACGACAGCTTTAAGGCATCTTCATAGTTTTCAACGAATTCTTCAGGTCTTTCATTATTTAATCTTGAAGAATTCCTTCACGATGATGAGCATAAATCTGGCTTGGGTTTTAGTAAATTCTTGAACATGACCAGATTCTACATTTAAACTTTGTACTTACTGCTGTGCCGAAAGATCTCTTTATGCTTCATATTTCAGAGGTTTACTACCTCACAAGCTTTAACTAGAGAAGTTAGGGAAATAGGTGGGGTTGGGTGGCTTTCGTATAAAGAAATTATCTCTGTCATGTATGAATACACTTCCGTCATCATCTGATTCATGGCTGATGTAAAGCAGGATTCTAGAGTTTGGAAACATTAGTGATCTGAGAGAAGAGAATTTTCAATTTTTAAGAAAATAAATCTTGAAAATCAAAACTTTAAGTACTTTCATATAAAAATTCCTTAAAGATTATTAAATTTAAGCCTTATTCAGAGTTCTCAAATCCCATAAAATACCTTGGTTCATTCTGGCTATGTTTCAATAGTTGTTATGAAATTTGATTCAAAATTTTATAACTAAAATGGGGTTTTGGGGTTTTGGGGTTTTGGGGTTTTGGGG